TGATTTTTGTACATTTATTCTTGAAGAACCTCAAATGTGATAATACGGTTGTTAGAATAAACATAACCAAATGTATATTCTTCTAGAATAAGCATAACCATATGTACATGCTTGAAGAATGTGATATGTATATAAATATAAAGAATACAAAGAGTGTTCATATTCTCATAGAATGCTTTGTCAAATTCTATTTTTTTTTTATATTATTCTCATAAGAATATGTCAACTTTGCAATAATAAGAGGTGTTATTTTGATGCAATTTACTATTATTAACAAATATACATGCATATTCTTTAAGAATATTAATTCTCAAACAATCATTTGACTGTAGTCATATTTTTTAAAGAATAAAAGGACACGTTCAATCATCTTAAACTGTTTTTTTAAATAATAATAATAATAAAACTTTGTTAACTTATATGGAACTGAAAAAAAATGTAAATCCATAAATAATAGCAACTTCCTTACTTTGTGATGTATAACAATGTCTTTAATGCCCTCAGGAACAAGTTTTTTTTTTTTTTTTAAATAAAGCAATGTCACTATGTGATGCATGAGACGGTAACTATCGTATACCACATCAATCTTAATCATTAAGCATTATAATCGGACGGTTCAAATCTAGTCATACATTCACACAATAATTGTAATTCATATTTAATCCTAACCTCATGTGTGTGTGTGTGTATATATATATATATATATATATATATATATATATATATATATATATATATATATATATAACCGTTCCAAACAGTCAAATACAACCATCCAATCACAAACTAAAGGAAAACACTCCCTTCTACTGCCTAAGTGCGGCCCTTGCCGCAACCTAACCACAATCAAGGGGCGATGTTCAGGCTTATGTGTCATCAGAGGTGTGGTAGAGGTCGTAGCCACTCCCATCGGTCTATTGGAAAATTTGATCATTATAGTTGGGTTAGTTGGTATAGTCGTCCTTTAAACATTTAGGGGTGTTTGGATAAAAATTAGATTATAGCTTATTAGCTTATTTGCTTATTTGCAGTGGGAATAAGCAATAAGCAATAAGCAAGGGGGGATGCTTATTAAAATCAACTTATTTAGCTTATCCCTACCACAATAAGCTAATTTTTAATGATTTCTATCAAAACACTTAAACTTAGCTTATTGTGGTGGAAATCCCCTATCCTAATAAAACAGTACAAATATGCCATGTGGCAATCACTTAGCCCCTTCCAAGCTTCTTTTCCTGCCCATTCTCTCAAAGTGATTTTCCTAAAATGGCCCTATGATTGCTTCAAAATCGAAAACTCTTCTATTGATTTCCTTAAATTTTGCCAATTTAAAATCTCCATCCCTAATTTGGTTTTTTCTTAAACCTCTATGAAAAGTGAAATCTGAATCTCATTTTTAAAATCCCTAATTATGGCCACTTTCGCCTTATTCCGTTTCTCTTTTGGTTTGATTGGTTCCATGGTGAAATCTGACTTGAGCAAGGGTGGTAAAAGAATGGTATTAACGTGGCAAGTGGTTTGTGGTGTTGGCAATAGTGATAACACAAATAAGAAAGTGAGGTATACGATTTTTTTCAGATAGAGGAGGCAGCAGGTAGAAGATGATGGTGCTCGGTGGTTGGTAGTGGTGGTGGCGTAAAGGTTGTGATGGGTGGCAGTAATGGGTGTTGCGGTGTTGATTTTGTGGTGTTTAGTGTTTTCGATGGTGTTGAAGGATTGATCCTGGCGTTTCTTCTTCATCATTTGGATTTTTTTTATGCAAAGAAACAAAATGATTGGTTAGATCAGCTTTTCTCTTGGTTTTATAACAAGGTGAATGTGTCTTCTTCTGCTTAGTCTTTTCAATTTCTAACCTTATTTTCTGTCAATCCTCACTAAGATTTCTCCATGTCTCTCATTATTAGCACATCTGCCCTAATCTCTTTCTTTTTCTCATGTTGTTGTACTTCATCGCCTATTAGCTAATGCCGAAGAAGTTAATGTTAGAGATAGGTCAGTCATGTTATTTACATTAAAATGGATAATTTTTAAGCATATACAGTCTTTACTATCAATTACTTTGCAAATTCATATGATTATATTTTAAAATTAGGGCTTTTACTACGATATTTTTAATATACATACTTTAGAAAAGTTTAAGATTTATTTAGATTCCATAATCTATATTTTTTTTGTACAAGTTCTTGATAAACTAGGAATTTAATTCGAACATTCATAAATGCATTGGATCGGTATTGATTAAGCTTAAAACCCAATTTCTTTTGTAAATGTGTTACATGTTATTTGACTGGTAAAGATTTTCAGCGGCATATGAGCAATTTTTCTTCCTTCTTCTCACTCCATATCTATAACTCATTTAATTTCAGTTTACATTACCTACATAATCCAATATCTATAGAAATTGAAAGAGAGAAACACCAATATGATTCGTCAAGAAAAGAGGATTTCAACAAGTTTATGGGTTTTGAGTTAGTTTGTAGTTGGCTATATTAAAATTGGGTGGGAAAGTTGCATTTGGATTGAAGCACTTGGTTGTAAGTTATTTTATTTTGTGATTCCTTTCATTCCTATACATATTTCAAATAATTGGGATTATTCTTTATTATCTTCTTATTTCAGAAACAATTATATATAAGAAAGAAATGAAAGTCTTGATTTTTAAAAGATGGGTATATGTACAAAAATGATTTACTACATGGGATGAATGGCAATTTTGTCTTTATGTCGAGATGGGAAGAAATGGTGTAAGGGTTGGTAATTGTGTTTATTTGGTTATCTATATTATTAACTATCGGTTATATTTTAGAGATAGGTTTGAAGTATTTGAAGAGGGGGATTATTGGTATAAAAATTTGTGAAAAGGTTGGTATTTTTGTGGAGTTGTTTCATGGTTTATTGATAATATTGAGGTGTGTAGAAGCAAGTTAATAAAATAGCAATTTGGTAATATTTATTGGAATATTATCATTTTAGATTTAATTCAGTATTGGAATGCAAAATAAGATTGAAAATTTGAATATTGGGGTATGTTTTTACTTGTACCCTTTCGAACTATACCCAAAAAGTGTAACTACTATTTTTTTGAGTATTAGACTTGGAGAATGAGATTGGAAAGTTGGAAAGGGTACAGGAAAAAACATATACCTAAAATTGTGTGTTTTTACTTTAATATTTATTGGTTTTGATTATCATTTGCAGGATTGTTGATATAATTCTATAATACTTTTTTTTTTGGTGAATTAGTTACAGAGGCAAACATACACACATAACAATTCTATGGTTTTTATTCTAGAGACAAACATTCACACATAAAACTTCTTGTGAGTTGTCTTATGAGAGCAAGGTTGAATAATGGCTCGCTTTGACTCCATCTCTTTATCAATAATTCAAAATGGTGGAAGTTAAAGAAGATTGTTACCGATAATTCTTCATGTTCTAAGGTAACCTTTTATGCATGAGGTGAAAAATAAATGTCTTATTTGCATGATTCAGATTATTTACTCAGATTATAGTCAAATAATTAACTAACGCCAGTTTCTAACTTTTTTTTAGTCAATTAATGACAAAGAGTTAAATCATGATGCATCTGGTGTGAGTAGGATGCTATTTCGAGAAAGAGTTTGGCTATAATGGTCAATTTTGGAAAATAGAAAAGTTGAATGCAGTGGATATAAAAGAAAGCACAAAAAAGGGTATTTTGCTCCTGTTATGTATTTATGGTTCTTTTATGAAGACTGGAGCAAACATCTAGATTAAGAACATGGTATAATCAATGGGTTTTGGGAAAGTAGTCTTAAGAAAAGATTGGTAAGATGGATTTCAGAAGATTGGAGAAGCATCAAGAGAATATGGTATTTTCGGCGTTTATTTTTCATAATCACCATAATATGTGTTACATCTAATTGCACCAGGAGTTTCTTTGTTCTTTGGTATCATTAAAGAGGGCATATAATGGTCAATTCCTGAAAATTAGAGAAATTAAATACATTGGAAATAAGAGAAAGTGCAAAAAAGATAATTATGGATATTTTGTTCATTTTATGTATTTTTGGTTCTTTTATGAAGATTGTAACAAGAATACGGGGATTAAAGTCTCTAAAGTTAGTATAATATATCATATTTAGGTTTACCGTAGTAATAGAAGATCGATATTTCAAAATAATGAAGAACTTTAAAGAATAAAGGATATTCTCAGCATCTGTTTCTGAAAGTGATCAGAAGCCGCTTTACTTTCAATTGCATCAGGTAATTGGATTTGGTTAATAAGGATGTCAATTTGGTTATTTCTTAGAAAATTTCGTAATAATCTTTTTTTGGTGGTGGTTTCATGAGAATTGACGGATTTACTTTTTGTAGTTTTTCGTTTAAAATTATTTGCAAATCGGTTTAATCACGATTATCATAGTTTTTTTTTACCTTATGATGGGAACTATAATGTGTGTAAGGGTAATTTCCTTTTGTATTGTTGGTTGGTTCCTAAGCAGTGTTGTGTTTTCTCCATTTTTGTCGGTGACATTACCTATTCTTTAATTGGGTCTATCACAAATTTTCATCCCGGTAATACCATGGCTCCAATATACTTCCTCTTAGAATATATCACAATGTATATATATTCAAATTCACATATTAATTTTAAATAATCAATATAAGTCTATACAAAACTTATGTCTTATTAATTTAATAAAGTTTTAAAAATCAACTTTTTCATTATAATTTTTAATTATCTATATTATTTTTCTTTTTTATCCGTAGTTTTTAGGGTTATAACATAATAAACCATAAACAATAAACATATTTATTTATTTATCCAAACACCCCTTAGTTGGTTATTTTATTGAAATTCAGCGGTTTCCTAAAAAACAAAGGAATACTAACCACGATATTTACAGCTTACTCTTTGCTACATATACGATTTAGGACCGGTCGATAGTAAACCCTAATACCCTATTCTTCGACATTTTACCCGGAAGAATAAACTACTTGGTTCGTCAGCTTGTAAGATGGGTAAGTTTCTTTCCATAAAACTCCATGTTTTTATTCTTTGAAAGTCGTGTGGGAAAGGATTTTTTTTGGATTGTTGTTTAAGATTTTCTTGTTCGTTCTAGTTTGAAACACAATCTCTTTTTTTTTGTGGTCGTTGTCGATCATTACGTATCCACTGGAAAACAGAAATCAGGAAACTGATTTCCAGAAGATTTATTACATGAGTTCGAATATGAAGGGTAAAATCTAGTTTTTGCCAGTAGAATGTATATTATGTGACCATGTAAGTCGTTTTAAGTTAGATTTTTACTAGGGGAAGCCATTGATGCAACAAGAAACTTGAGGACACACCAAAATTTAACCAAAAAGGATCGTTTCCTTTTACATATTCTAGGATTTCGTGATATGGGTGACAGTTTTTCAGAACCACGTATATTGTTTGGCATATTCCATCATACATAACCCATAGCTCCTTTAACTATTTTTAGTTAACCATTAACTGAAAAAGTCTCTACCTTTGCTTTCGGATACCTTATATTGCTCTTAGGTTGGATTAATATCTATTAGGACTACAAAATGTTATATATGAGTCACATATCCTCAAAAAAATGCTTACAAACATTAAATCATGAGTATTGCAAATAAAATAATTCCTTTATCATGCCTTATGTTTCTTACTGCCTTGTATTTTCTTTTAAATAGTTTGGTCCTGCTTTCTTCCGGATCTAACGACAGAGAATCATAGAGCGGGGGTTCTCACTTGTGCTAAAGAAGATAGAATCAGTAACTTGCCTGAACACTTGATAGACTTAATCTTAGAGCGGGTCCCGCTTGAAGAGGCTGTAAGGACAAGCATTTTATCCAAAAATTGGAGGTACAGATGGACCAAAATGGGGGCACTGGCTTTTGATGAGCAGTTCTTCAATAAATATTCAAAAAACGGAGCTTTTGGTCGTAATGGGTTTATAATGATCATATACAAAGTCTTGATCCTTCACAAGGGTCATATCTCGAAATTTCTTCTCGATATACCAAATATAAATATGTTTCTTGATAGCTTTGAAGAAGTTGATCAATGGATGCTACTCTTATCAAGAAATGGTGTCAAGGAACTCATCCTAACTAATTCAAGTCAATCTTATAAACTTCCTTCTAATGTGTTTTCTTGTCTAGAATTGAGAAAGTTGGAACTGGAAAACTGTTTTTTCAAGCCACCAGATGAGTTTGAAGGATTTGTTAATCTCAATGATCTTGAGCTCTGTAACGTTGATTTTGGGGCTAATTTGCGTGGAACTGAGATCAACTTACCACAACTTAAGGAGTTGTCCCTGTTTAGGTGCACAAATGTTTACAATTTCAACATCAAGGCTACAAAACTGAAGAATTTGATTGTCTTCGAATCTCCTGATTCCATGGTGCTTCACATATTGCACAATCCATGCCTTGCTAAGGTTTTTATGTCTTTTTTGAAACCTATAGATGAGTTTGTAAGAGATGAAAGAAAGACATTGTCCATTGTGTTAAGTAACTTACCCAAAATTGAATCGTTATATCTTGATGGTCTTTTCTTTAAGGTATGATACAAAGTGAACTTTTAGTGTTATACCTTTTGTCTTTTTTTTAGGTAAGTTATGACCTCACTTTCACTTCACAGGTTTTGATTGCAGAAAAGCTTCCAAAATTGCTTCCATGTGCGATTAGTAGTTTAAAGCATCTGTGTTTGCTATATTATGAACTTTCTGATTTGGATCAACTTCATGGTGCTCTTTGTTTGCTTCGGAACTCGCCAAATTTAGAAAGTCTGTCTGTGAGGTTTTTGGAGATGGTAAAGTAACGAGTGCTTAAAGTATATTTATTAGAGTAGGATGCGGATGCTCACCATTTTTATGTTTTTTCTACAGGAACCTCAAGCCATTCGTTATGATGTGGGACCAGCTTCAGATCATTTAGAGGCTGCAAACTGCTTGGATTGTACATTGGAACAGTTGCAAACTGTTGAGATAACATATTTAGAAGGATCAAAACCAGAACTGCTTTTTATAAAGCTTCTTCTTGCTCATTCCCCTTCTCTCCAGAAGTTTACCATCACAACAAGTGGAGATCTTGATGCTAAAAAAATACTTGACATCTCTAAGGATGTTATGCGCTTCCCTCGAGCATCACCAAAAGCAGAAGTGGTCTACTTGAACTCGGAGACATAATTTTGTAAGAATGTTCAACAATATTGTAAAGTAGGTTTAAACGCTCTACCTTACGAGCGTATTTTCTTTATGATGTAATTTGACACGTCCTACTCGTTTTGATTTTTGCTTCAGCTTGGTGTGTGTTAACACATGTAAATAGTTCTATGCACTAAGAAGAGACGATCTTCTGGATTTTGAATGAAAGCTAACTTTTACGATTTAAAAGTTAAAACCACCAAGAAAGGTTTTGGTTTTGGCAAAAGGGTGCTTGGTTTTGCTAATGATAAAGAACATGGAATGTTGGTGGATAATAGCGCGTATTCCACCATCCATATTGCATTAATGATATCTGGTTGATATTGATAGTAATAATTAAAGTCACATATAGCATGCCATAAATTAGGAACTTATGTAGCGCCAAAATTGGTTCCCCGTATTTAAGGTATTTTCTTCAATTTACAAACTATACTGCAAATCGAAAAGTCTTTTGATCATAATCCTAAATTCAGACTTGGCTTCATGTCTCCAAATGGACAAGCAAGACTACTAAACTCTTTGAAATGTCTTTTTAGTATACAAATATGGGATTATTTGTTAAAAAAATGTCAATTTTACAACTTTTGTGTTGCATTTGCATTGCATCAGGAACGGAGCTAGAATTTTAGATTAACGAGAGCTTAGACATACATCGTAATATATATATATATATATATATATATATATATATATATATATATATATATAATAAAGGGTTTGAGTGAGATATATGTCTATATTGTATGTGAGTTAGTTATAACTTTAATGTTTTTTGAAAAAGTTAAGTAATAAATAATGAATAATATATAACAAAACATTAATATCCAATAAAATTAATTACATTTTAATACATACAGAATGAGATGAAGCATACAATTGATGGTAGGCTTTGAAAGAGATGGAGTATATAGTTGATGAGCTTTGAGTGGTAATATACTAATGTCAATGGAATTAGGGGGCACAACACCCACTAGCCCCCCACCCATGCATTGCTTGATTGTAATTTAACATTAGAATCTTGTGAAAATGTTACATAAATATATCTAAATTTTATTAAAAATTAGGCGAAAGGCCACACATTGCGAAAAACACAATTACATATTTAAAAAATACATATAAATATATGCTATTAAAAATTATCATGTGGTTATTATATAATATCTTAAATCTATGGCCTCTTTAGGAACGGTACTTTGTGTCTATTTGTAGATTTTTTTTGTTTCCTTTAATTTTTTTTTTTCCTTCGTAATCTTTTTATGATGGTCTTTCCCACCGCCTTGCATTTATGATCCACTGGACACATGTCTTCCATTTATGATCCACCACCTCTAAATCCAACCGGTACCCCGATGTATTTTCATCACCGCTTACTATCACAGGTTCAACCATACACCTCCTCTTTTATCCCCTGTTTCTTTTTTCCCCGATCGCTCTACTGCCTAATACATGACGCTTCTTCTCTACGTTTCTTCTTCATCTCAAGCTTCATAGATTCGGGGTCCGCACCGCAGAAGACACGATAGCCACCACAGTCCACACCACGCAAGCTGACCTCGCCTCCAGAGGGATCGATGGCTCAATCAATCAAAATCAAAACACCCACGAATCAATTTTTCAACGCCACCACTCTAAGGGTTCTTCAAAGGTGCTTCCTTATATCCAATAATTTGTTAATTTTTTCTTTAGGTAACTAATAATTTTTTTTTTTCTGGTTTGTTTAAATGTACCACCACAGATTGATCGTCAAAACCAAAACCAGGTGACGCCGGCGAAAACCATCACTAAGGTAGTTAAAGGTTTAATATTTTCGTCTGTAAACTTTTTTTCTTTTTCTTTTTTAGATTTGGAATGGAGATGATGGAGATGGATGCTTTGTAACTTGTAGATTTCTAGTTGTCATAGCTAGCCTATTAGTAGATGGTGTTGGATAAGGTGTCTAAGTTCATAACTATATTTGGTATGTACTTGACCCGGCTTGGCATGGTCCATTTGGGTTGCATGACATCTCAACATTTGGATAGACAAAATGAGAATAAGGACACTTATGATTTGTTAATATTAATATGAAATCATATTATTTAATTAGTATTGATCAAGAATTAATTTGGAATTAATTTTGTGATCAAAAGAGACTAATTAAATATATGAGGATTGATTGTTTAAATATTTCATTCTTATATTGTGGGCTTATGATCCATGGTTCACTAGATTGGGCTAGGACCTATTGGGCGCTCCATGGATGCTCCATGGAGGTTAAAACCCATGGATCATGGGAATATGAAAAGCTATGCACATTAGGGTTTACATGGTGTAACCCTACATGTGGCACATTATATAAAGACCCCATAGGCTAGCAAAATCGGCACTAAGACAGTAAGAGTGAGGGCTAGCCGATTTTGTGCTCAATGTGTTCTTATCTCAAGTTATTCCAAGTGTTGTGGTATTGTGTGAAACATTTGAGGCATCACACTTGGGGTGCTAGGCTTACAAAGTCTTAAGGAATCAAGCAACACACAAAGGTATGCTATTCTACTAGTTTTCTATATTGCAAGTTCCCCATAACATGATAGTTAGGATAAGAATATTGGAAAAACAAATTTGCATGTATATTAGAGAAAACAGAGATCCAAGGTTTCTAGGATTGCATGCACACCATAGGAGTGTTAGATTGTTCAAAACCCATCAGTGGTATCAGAGCCTAGGCTTGTTTTCTATATACTTGATACAAAATGCTTGAAAAAGTCGAAAAATTGTTCATTGTTCAGTGGACACGCCGAGTGCAATGGGGGACTCGACGAGCCCAAGTGTATCTTCATCCTACTCGTCGAGTAGGTTCGTGCACTCAACGAGTAGGAGGCCCAGAGTGCATTTTTTCGAGTTTTTAAGATGGAATTGGATTAGAAGCATTACACTAAATTGTTTTGGACTTATAAAACCTGTATTTGATGTGGTAATGATTATGCTAATCCAATTTCAAAGGTTATTATCAAAATTTCAAGTTTATGTGTGTTTATATGATTCTTGAAATTGTTGATATGAATGTTCATACACTTATGAGTCTTGGTAGATCATAGGAATCATTTGCAAATTATTTGTTAGTTTAATTCTTGATCTAAATGTTTTTAATGGAGTCCATAATTTATCCTCAAGTTATGGATTACCAAAAGTCATTTCTTTTAAAGATCCATTAAAGAACCATAGGTTACATAAAATGAAGAGTCTTCATTTTAATAGACCATTAAACTCATAAGTTATGAAATGAAAGATTTTGAATAGTTTCAAACTTTGCCCTCAAGTTTTGGATTTTGTAAAGTCACTTTAGAAAACTTTAATTCCATACCCTAGAGTTTTAAAAGTTAAAATTCAACTCTTATACTTTATAATATTATATATATATATATATATATATATATATATATATATACATATATATATACATACATATATATATATATATATATATATATATATATATATATATATATAAAAGAGCAAGTCAGTTTTACCGTTAGTAGGCCTCATTCACGAAGTTGGTCTATAATGGGGGTATAAGGTTGTTGCCTATAAAATGGCAGCTTAATGGGTGTCCACTCTTACCCACCGCTTCCTTGACTGGTGAAGGGTCGTTATCTAAACGTAGGGGTGTCAATTTATGACACGAGACGACAAAATACATGAAACGAAACGAAATCGGGAAGAAATCAAAATTCAAATTCGTGTTCGTGTCAAGATTAAAAAACAAGATGTCGTGTCGTGTTCATAAATTGACACGAAATTGACACGATTAAGCATGTGGTTGTCAGGTTTTTCGTGTTTGTCATTTTTATCGTGTTATATATTTTCAAGTATGAATGAAATACACTAATAGTTATGTAATATTATCATTGTCGTGTCGTGTCGTGTCGTGTTGTCGTATTTTTATTGGTTCGTTTTTGTGTTAATGAAAAAAACATGACATCGTTTCGTGTCATGTTCGTGTTATACAAAACATTGTCGTGTCGTGTTGTGTAAGACAAAAACACGACACGACTGCCCGATTTGACAGCCCTGTCTGAACGGGTAGGACAAGGACTATAATTCTCATTAAAAGGTATAATGATAAATAAAGTAACTAAACCTTTTATAAATTCCCAATCTTAGTTACTTTAGGAAAATGTGAATTTGGTGCTAACCCATGAAATTATACTTTGTACCTTACCAAATCGTTGGTGGAGCGTGTGTGAGTAACCGGGACACTAACATGGACTAGTAAGAGTGGCAAATGGTGACTTAACATTTATCGTAGATCGGTGGAACACGTGTGGGTAACCAACACGTCGATTAGGTGATAAAGATTAACTGTACCAATCTAATTTACATGGTTATTCACACCTTGTTTGTGATTCTCGGCATCCCAATCACAAACTTTAGAGGACACAATCAAGATTTAAACATGCCATTGAAAATTTCAATGAATCTCAAAAGATCTAGGAGTTTCAATTAAAACCTAATAATTTATTTCATTTTTATGGTGGAAATTGGTGAATCATCATTCGCCTACCTTCAAATATTTTATAGCTTGGATTACGGCATCCCTCTTCCAAGTTATAAAGTTTTGTGTTGGGTCCTAGCCTCAATATTACATTTAGGTATCTTATTAAGGATTCCATATCTAATATAAACTTATCTTTCTTCTTTTCAGATGTCTTCCAACAATGTTGTTTCTGGCTTAAACCCTACCGACTCCTTCTCTCTTATGAACCTTTATGGGAGAGTCATCTTTGATGGTTCCAAATTTATGGATTGGATCTGGAACATCGGGATGGTCGTGCATTACGAGGACAAAGAATATGTCCTCGACAAGGAACTGAAAGAAATTGATGAGTCTACTGCTACTCCAGAGGAGATCAATGACTTTAGGGCACATAAAAGAGATGCTACCAAAGTGGCATGTATCATGTTGGCCACAATGACAGCTAGAATCCAGAAGTCCTATGAGGATT